GATGTTCCAGAAACGGGTTGGCAACGAAAGCAAGGCTCTTCCAACGAAAATGTGCTCCAAACCGATTTGCCAAGTTTGTCAAGACCCTTTCGAATTCCTTAACCACTAGGGGTGTTCAAACGGTTTGGTTACCATGGTAACCATTTTAACCAGTAGTATTTGGCTAATTTGATTTGGTTAATTTCGATAATTGGTTTGGTTTGGTTAAAAAATTTAGCTTGTTTGGTTTAGGTGGTCTGGTTTGGTTTCAGGCACTCCTAACCAATCAAACCAAATTAACCAGTTAAGTAATTTGTCATATATCTAATATATATTATATACACATACTTAATACTTTGCATAACCACTCAAGAGTCAAATGTAAGATAATTGTATTTGTTACATGTATTTACGTTAAGGGTTAACTATAATTATGTGGGTTGTTATGTGTTGTTCATTAAATAAATTGCAAATTGATGAACTAACTGAAAATTTTTCTCACTTAATGATAATGTGGTGTTATATTGGTTATTTTGGTTAACCAATTAACCAAACCGAATAAACTTTAGTTTGGTTAATTTGGTTGTTGTATTAGTTTGGACGGTTTGATTATGATATTGTATTTCATGGTTAATAGATTTTAGACTTATTTGGTTTGGTTATTACCATGGTAACCATTTGAACACCCCTATTAACCACTGCCTCTTCTACTGCCCTCATGCCAGAGAATCACGGAATTCCATTTTCCCATCCCTCCCGATCCCTCGCCAGGGTACCTCTTTCTTTGACTTGTTCTGCTCCCTCAAAGATACTATCCCTAATAACTCCTTGATTCACATTATATACCTATGTCGGAACATTTGGAAGGCAAGAAACAAGAGTACTTTCAAGAATAGAGTTCCCTGGCCCCAAAACATATGTCTGCAAACCTATAGAGAGCTAACATAATGGATGGCTTGCCCGAGGCCCCCGCCTCCTTCTTCTGATGGTCCCACTCAGCTCAGGGGATCCCTTCCCACTACGAATCTCCCGCCAAGTAATCACTCGTTGGTGATTCATTGTGATGGGTCGTTCCTTAAAGACTCCTAGTCGGCAACTCATGGTGTTGTTGTTGTTAACCACCATGGACAAGTGTGTGATGGGAGAGCCGAGATTCTTCATTGTTCCACCCCGATTGAAGCGGAAGTGAAGGCACTCTTGAAAGGTATTAAATTAGCACAAGAATATGGATCGATTTGTACAGTACAATCTGACTGTCAAATGCTGGTGAAGGCCCTGAACCATAATGGTTAATATCCTTAGGAATAACCCTGCAATTTTGGTTAAAGAGGTTCCAAGGACGTTGAACGTTATGGCTGATTGGGTGGCACGATCAAAAGCTAGATCTACTCTGTCAGATGACTAGATTAGTATTTTTTATCTAATTTTTTATCTCATTTAAGTTTGTAATCGCTTTTTAGCGCGTTTCTTTCAATGGTGGCATAAAAGTTGGTATTATTGTAAAAAAAAGAAGGAGATCAATAAAGAGCCAGAAACTAAAATGACATGTAACAGAAGAATGCTGGTGACTTCTTTACTTTTGGACTTCCCGGACTATTGCAGAATACCGCTCCTCGAAACTGTGGCTGCATTTCCCATTACCAAAAAATGAATAAAGGGATTGAAAAATGAACAACTCCAAAGATAACGAAAAAATGAAAAACAGAGAACATGAAGCAACGTCCGTACTTAATCAACTCACAGCACTATAGTAAGTTCCCCTAATTGCAAAGCCCGCATTGAACTCCATAACTTGCTGCTTCACTCTGAAATTGTGGACTCCAAAACCCAGGAACACCATCAAAAGGTGCAAATAAATTTTGGATAAGAAAAGTGAAAACTGGGATAGATAACATGGGGTTAGAGAGGGTAAGAAAAGACATGGAATTGAGCCATCGAGAAGAGATATTAAACCTTGCTGAGTACTCTGTGGTCACCCCCACTGGCAGAGATTACGATGATCTTGCGGACCATCGATTAGTTATTATGGCAGCAAATCTGTATGAGGAAGGGGAAAGAAAAGGGAGTCAACATCTACATTTCCTAAAAACAAAAGGGCAAGAAAATGATATTGGAATCACACTGGAATCAGCAGATCTGTCTCACCAATATATTGAAAAGAAAAAGGGACCGGTAATATTCCAAGCCACATCGTTCAGGGTTGTCATCGTGGCCTGCTATGGGATAGATAGCTTCTGAAGATCCATGTGGAAAATGAGTTGTCGATGAGCGAGAGAAGGATTCACGAAACCCTGACCCACTTAACCAAAAACAGAAAAATCTATGTTACTGAGTATCGGAAACTAATGATATCCTAAGGATCAATAAAACATCTTACCTAGGGAGATATGCAACTGAAGGATGCATTTCCTCTATTGTAGAGCTCGGGGCTATGATGAATTTCGTTGAATCTCCCTCGAAATATCGACTGAGCATACGAACTGCCAAGAGCTTTCACATGACGGAAATCGTATGAGTGAAGATGAACAGGGGAAGAAAACCGGAGACCAGTGTTAAAAGAATATGCAACTAAAGATCACAGAAGAGGGAGACATGCAAAATCATCAAATCCTCACCATAAACCATCAGGGTTATCAATCTGGTTTCCGTCGATCGATCTCGTCGCCCCGGCGTGCATCATCTCCAATGTGGATCTACAATCCAAACAATGGATCATTAGATCGCTGGCTTCGTGTTTGAAATGGATGGCCTCCCTGGCTGTGAACTCAGAGTAGATAACCTCCCCTGAAAGGTGATAAAAAAACCCATGTTGAGGGGAAAAAAAAGAGATCACACTTATCCGAGTGAAGAGAAGAAATCAAACCATAAAAACAACGAAAATATACCATGCAGATTTGTGCCACCTCCGATTCCTCTCTCGGCTTCTCAAATTCTCCTTCTCCAGTCGATCTCTCCAAGCTACTGGTTTGCGGAAAGGGGATGTGAGAAACAAAGCAGAGAGAAGTGAGAAGGAGAGTGGAGAGAGGAAAATATAGGGAAACTAAATGCACTTCAGGGTTCTATTCCCGTCTCCTCTTTTGGGTAAATGCACTCCTAATTTGACCCTTCTCTGATTCTCTTTGCTCATCCAAAAATGAAATCAAAGAGAAATAGAAATCAGATGGGTAGGTTAAACGAAAGGCCAAAATGAAAGCTACGTGGCTCTTATGTCAAACAAACAATTTCTTTACTCTCAGAATCCACTCAAGCAACTCTTCACTCTTCCCAACCCCAAGACCGCTTCCCGACTCAATCGGGGCCCATTTATTTTCCCTGCGACCAATGTGCGCTTTCTCCCAGGTCCAAGCAGGCCATGCAGTGCAGTACTTCCCATCAAATCCCTCTGGCACCTCAAGCAACCCATCACTCCTCACGTACTATCAGAAGACTGAAATTACTATTCATTTGGACCGAAATTACTATCAGAAGATTGGTTTAAGCATATGCTTTAACTTATGAGCTTAAGCACAGGAACCCAGGCCGTCTATATGCATAGTAGGGGTTGTGTCTTTGGAAATAAAGATCTTTAATTTAATTGAGAACTTAATTCGGCCGTTCTTGCTGTCGATTTCATAAATAACAAGGCAGTTAATTATTTGAGTTTGGATTCCTAGGCACCTCAAGCAACCCATCACTCCTCACGCAGGCCATGCAGTGCAGTAATTTCGGTCCAAATGAATAGTAATTTCGGTCCAATCAATGAATAGTACTGCACCTCAAGCAACCCATCACTCCTCACGCAGGCCATGCAGTGCAGTAATTTCGGTCCAAATGAATAGTAATTTCGGTCCAATCAATGAATAGTACTGCACCTCAAGCAACCCATCACTCCTCACGTACTATCAGAAGATTGGTTTAAGCATATGCTTAAACTTATGAGCTTAAGCACAGGAACCCAGGCCGTCTATATGCATAGTAGGGATTGTGTCTTTGGAAATAAAGATCTTTAATTTAATTGAGAACTTAATTCGGCCGTTCTTGCTGTCGATTTCATAAATAACAAGGCAGTTAATTATTTGAGTTTGGATTCCTAGGGTTTTAAGTGGGCAATTTCGTTAGGACGAGCAGGCAGGTACGTGAGATGCCAGCTAGCTAAGTAGCCCCGTCATTTTTCATGCCTGCGTAATTATCGATAACAATTAATATTATTAGATTAATAATAAAATCAATAACAATAATAACGGTGGTCCTTGTTGGAAATTATCGCAGCTTCCTACCAAAAAAAAAAAATTATCGCAGCCTTACGAAACACTCATCAATCAGTATTTTTATTTTTTTATGAAATCATCAATTAGTATTCAGTACTATGTCCGAATGATAGTAAATTCAGTCTATATGTACAGCAAGGGTTGTCTTTGGAAATAAAGATCTTTAATGTAGTATTACAGACAGGTCAATTTGCTTATACTTGGTTATAACGATCCAAACCTACACTCGATAACAAGGCTTGTTTTTTCAAATATCAAAACCCACACTCACTTATAAAATTAGGTTTTATCAGTTTTTTTATAACTAGCCTGAATTTCAATTAAATCCAAATAATGTCATTACAATAAGCTTTTAATTGAGATAAAAGAAAAATCAGAGGGCGTTGGAACCACACCTTTGTTTCTTTCCAACGGCATCTCGCTCTAGCGATGAGGTGTGTAAATTATTGTCACGTCTTCCCCAAAATTCTCCATTTCATTTATGTCCCGTCCTTACCAAATTAGGAATTTCTTGACAGACCATTTCAATCTCTATCTCCGTCTTCTTCTCTTTGTCAATCAACAATTTGGAATCTAATTCCATCAAGATCGGACGATATTTTAGATCAATTTGAATTCAACAATTATGTCTATTTTCAGATTGTTTGTTTACGCCTAAATTTAGGCATGGTCCTTACACACTAAGCTAGTAGCCTAGTAGCTAGTGTCATCACTTATCACTGCAACTTTTGTTTACCCGCGGCGGTTTCGTTCGTGTATAGTATTAGTACCTTACAAATACAATCCTCACCTTAAGCCTTGCAGAGTCGCATTTTTAACGTTTTGAATCCCTGATCCAAGCCACTACAATTCGTCAATTCGCCCGCTCCGCCTTCACGTCCGGGGTGCTGTGCTTTCCTCCTGATCCAAAGCACAAACAAGCGAGCAGTCTTCGGCTGCACTCCACAGTCCAAAATCAATTTTAAGCATCTTTGCGTGACCGAAAAGCTGCCCTCCTTGAAGAGGCATCGGGACACTCCGCCCAACACTCGTAATATCCCCAAATTCCTCACCTTGTCAACTTCCCTCCAAGCTTTTCCGCCTCGGGGCATTTCTGGGTTCCTCGTTCGGCACTGTCTGAGTTCCGGAATCTGTACGAATTTCCTTTCTTGAAACTTCATCTGACTTCCCTCCTCCCGCTCCTTACTTTCCAACCATTTGCAGAGTCAAATATTGGGTTCTGGCGGGATTGATCCTCTATTTAATGCACGACCTTAGGCTCTGCTTTTGGGAACAAGGTCAGGACTGAGATTTACGCATTGAGTTCCATAGAGTCGGCGAGAGCAAGTATGAGTTTACTAGTGCCGAGTTTGAATGTTTGTCCTGGGAGTCGATGTGGGTTGTTTTGGGTTTTGGTTGTACTGTTGTTGGGGAGTAGTACTAGGGTGGCGTTCTCCGATTCCAAGTACTTGGTTGGCCTCGGAACCTACGACATCACTGGCCCTGCTGCTGATGTGAATATGATGGGTTACGCTATGATGGAACAGACCACCTCTGGCGTTCACTTCCGGCTGCGAGCTCGGAGTTTTATCGTGGCGGAGCCGGGAAAGAACCGAGTGTTGTTTGTCAACCTGGATGCTTGTATGGCCTCGCAGATTGTAACCATCAAAGTGCTTGAGAGGTTGAAGGCCAGGTGATACTTCATTTCTTTGCCTATTGTTAAGCTTTCATTTGGGTTTCATAGTTTTACAATTTCTGCCATGAGGGTTTTGGTGGTTGATTGGTATGCTTACTGAGCTATGGTAGGTATGGAGACTTGTACACGGAGAAGAATGTTGCAATCAGTGGGATTCACACTCATGCTGGCCCTGCGGGCTACCTCCAGTATGTTGTGTATACTGTGACTTCTCTAGGCTTTGTTCGTCAGTCATTCGATGCCCTTGTAGATGGCATTGAGCAAAGCGTTATTCAAGCACACGATAATCTCCGGCCTGGATCAATTAATGTGAACGCCGGTAGGGTTTCCATCTCTGTCTCTAATTCTTGCAGTATTTATGAGTTGCGGAGTTCAGGACTACTTAGCATTCTATAGTGGAAGTTTGGCCAATGAAGAAATGAGGGTGTCTCTTAGCTTTTGGGGCTCCCCTTTAGTCTGGATTTGTCGATAAATTGGATGTACTTTGTCGGTGGAATATCCATTTTGATTCTCTTGCTCATATGTTCTTCCTTTTGACTCTGTTGTCAGGGGAAGTCATGGATGCTGGTATAAATCGAAGTCCTAGTGCATATCTGAATAATCCTTCTGAAGAGCGCAGTAAATACAAATATGATGTCGACAAAGAAATGACCCTCATAAAGTTTGTGGATGATGAATGGGGTCCAATTGGTAGTTTCAACTGGTTTGCCACTCATGGAACCTCTATGACTAACACGAACTCTTTGATAAGTGGGGATAACAAGGGTGCTGCTGCCCGATTCATGGAAGACTGGTTTGAGCAGAATAACAGTGCAAGTTCCGAGTCTGTTGAAAGTGCAGGCGAAGGAATCCCAAGGAGAGTTTCTAGTATCATTCCAGATGTGCAGAGCCACCGTAAGTCAACTTCTGGTTTCTCTAAGTGCCAAAATAATTTGGAAAGCACTTCGGTATATTGTACTTCTGAAAAAGGATTTGTCTGTATACCTTGCATATTGCAGAAACTAGAATATACGTGGCTAAGTTGTCAGTGTGTTTAGTGGAAGAAACTCTGAAATTTGCAGGTGGTGACCTGTCTGAGACTACATTGGACATACATAGAAGTAGTGTCTGAAATATAATTAATTATGTAATAGTTTGTGTGACAACAACTTGGTATGCCCTGAATGTTAAAATGTGTCAGAATGATGTTGCATTCTTTGTCCTCAACTAATTGACAGTCAAGATACTTAACTTATTATGTTTCTCCATTGGTGTATTTTCAGACCGCGAGCATGAGCTACTGGAGCTTGCTGCATCTTTTGGTTCCACTCCTGGTAAACCAGCAACTAAGACTCTAAGTGTTGCAGGTCGAGTAAGGAGTGCTCTCAGGAAGGCAGACAAACCTGGTTTTGTGTCTGCGTTTTGTCAGTCTAACTGTGGTGATGTTAGTCCCAATGTGCTTGGAGCTTTTTGTACGGATACTGGGCTTCCCTGTGACTTCAATCACAGTACCTGTGACGGGAAGAATGAGCTGTGTGTTGCCCGAGGACCTGGGTACCCTATCCCCCCCGCTGAAGAAATAACCATATTTAATGATAATGTATAATCTTTTTGTTTTGTTCAGCTTTAATGTCTTGTTCGTTACATGGCAGTTACCCCGATGAGTTTGAAAGTACACGTATCATTGGAGAAAGACAATTCAGGAAAGCAGTGGAGCTTTTCAATAATGCAACTGAGGAATTGACAGGAGAGATTGACTATCGCCATGCTTATCTTGACTTCTCTCAGCTTGATGTAATGGTCCCTAAACAAGGTGGAGGTACTGAAGCCGTGAAGACATGTCCTGCTGCAATGGGGTTTGCATTTGCTGCTGGAACTACAGATGGACCAGGAGCTTTTGATTTTAAGCAAGGAGATGACAAGGCAAGTAAATGATGATAACTGATGTTCTCTTTTGAGTCCCACAATTCTTTGGCTTTGCATTAATATTATTGTTGAACGTTGCAATGTCACCCATCAGGGAAATGCCTTCTGGAAGCTGGTGCGCAACATGCTGAAGTCCCCAACTAAAGAACAGGTTGCTTGTCAGCAACCAAAGCCTGTCTTGCTTGATACTGGTGAAATGACGCTACCCTATCAGTGGGCAGTAAGTAGCATTCTACTTGTCTTTATGCTTCATAGGCAACTAGAATGCCATTTATTTACCAGACTTTTATGTTTCCTGAATGAGATGATAATCCTATACCTGGACTGAAAAATTCAACAAAGTAATAGGTTTGCTGCCGAGAGTTAAGTCCTATAATGTGATTCCAATCTGTTCTATGCTGGAATTACGTGTTGCATGATGTTAGCAAGAGTTACTTGGATTCTGGTTGACGTTGACTTTGATTTTGCAGCCTTCGATTCTTCCAATCCAAATCCTTCGTGTGGGTCAGCTAGTTATTCTCAGCGTTCCTGGAGGTACATACAAGTCCTTTTTCTTATCGTGCTTCTACTCTCTAGGGAAGGTGAATGCTGCCACTAATATAGAGGCATGTCAAATATGCAAACAAACTGATTCTGGGATCCTGTTGATTAGAACAGTTTCTTATGACCATGTGGTATAGTAACACGGATCAGATTAAGAGTCCTTTTATTTGATAACAAATGAATCACCTTCTGCATGTTGTTGCCATGGAAATTCCATCTACTAGCGCTAGTTTGGTCTACACAGGCCAAGTTTTACTATTTCAGACCTTGAGTCTACACTCTCCAGATTGTTGTCTTTGATCTGAATGTACCCATCATCTCTTGGTTTCCATTCAGAATTCACAACCATGGCTGGAAGGCGACTTCGGGATGCTGTGAAGCAGGTGTTGACCGGTGGCAAGAATGAAAAACTCCACGTTGTTATAGCTGGGTTGACTAATACCTACTCACAGTACATAACCACCTTTGAAGAGTACGAAATACAGAGATATGAGGTGAGTTAATGTGTCCATCCCAGGCATATCTATGTATGCTGCACGCACCCAGTGAGAAGGAAGACGGTACTTCTCTCTGAAGTGGACTTGATTCACCATCAGAAACTTCCTATCTTTAGATGTGTTCATCACTAAAGACAACTGTTTCTTCTCCTCAATCAATTCCACAGGGTGCCTCTACTCTATATGGTCCACACACACTGAGTGCATACATTCAAGAGTTCAAGAAGCTTGCAGGGGCTCTCATTCGAGACCAACCCGTGGAGCCAGGTCCTCAGCCGCCAGATATGCTCAGCAAGCAGATCAGCATGCTGACACCCGTCTTCATGGACACTACCCCACTTGGCACTCATTTTGGCGACTGCAGCACTGACGTCCCCAAGAACGCTACTTACAAGAGAGGCGACATGGTGAGTGTCGTGTTCTTGTCGGCTTGCCCCAGGAATGATCTCATGACGGAAGGCACATTTGCAGTGGTGGAGATCCTTCAGGGCATGGATACATGGGTCCCAGCGTACGATGACGATGATTTCTGCTTGAGGTTCATATGGTCGAGGCCTGCCAAGCTGAGCGCTCGCAGCCATGCTACCATCGAGTGGAGGATCCCCCAGTCGGCCACCCCTGGTGTGTACAGGATCAGACATTTTGGTGCTGCCAAGGCGCTTTTTGGTTCCGTTCGCCATTTCACTGGCTCCTCTAGCGCCTTTGTTGTGGCATGAGGTATGGTACGTCTTTGTTCTTCAAAGGGATCATAGAAGACGATGGACCCATTTCTTGTTTGTGTTCACACGACTTGATGTAAAAATTAATTTGGTGTAATATATAAATATATTGCATTCGTTTGGTGGGAAATGGTAATTGAACCATGTCGAAGAAGCGGCAAATTTAGTACTTTGGGATTGTTCCGAGCATCATTAGTACTTAATCCTATATTTTCCTTAGAGTAGTTTGGTTGTGGGATTTTAAAACCATGAATTTTCTGATTGAAGAATCATGTAGGATTTTTTTCATTTTGAATTTGTGTTGGATTTTGAAAAGTGTTTGTTTGTTAGAATTTCATATGAGATTTGTCTCATTGGGATTTATTAATAATAGGTTGAATTTACATTTGTATTCAATGATTTGTGTTCTTGGGGTTCAATATAAAAATATTGGATATAGATGATGATAGTCTGTCATTTATCATTATAAACTTTAGTTTCCCACAAAATTCCAACTAAATGGGTGAGATTTTATAATCGGCGAACTCATGAATCTTGCCCCAAAATAATATCACATGTGTGGGGCCCACATACCATAATCCAACATTAGTTTAACATCAAACATAGACTTTGTACATAATCCCATGAGTGTGGAATTTTGATGCAAAATCCTTGATAAAAATCCGATAAGCAAACCACCTCTTAGTTGTTATAAGGGCTCGTTGGTTTGGTTAACTGTTAAGATGGACAATACAAAGCCATAAAATGTTCAAAACCCAAAATCGGACTGTTAGGAGAGTTTTTCGATTTTTGAAAATCGTATGTCCTTTAATAGTTTGGTTTTGGTTTGAAGAAATAAGAAAAATTTGAACTTTTGGTGTTGGTGAGATAGTAGACCTAGTATCAGTTCCTTATCGGACTCTTAATTTTAATCAAAATTATTTACGTGAAAAGTTCATCAGGATGTTTTTTATTTTCATTATGTATTAAACCCCAACTTTTCAGGAAATTTGAAGATATAAAATGTTTAATGCAGAGCTAAATTGTAAGTTTGATCACTCATTTTGCTAAATTGTTTTACGTTTGACACTTAAAATTTTTTATTCTACTTGGGGTCACTCAAATAATTTCAATAGTTCAAGTTTGGCCAACGGTCGGTATCTTCCACCAGTCTCCACTAACAACGTCGGTTCTTTTGCTGTCTTGGCTACCATAAATATATAGTTACCCAATCTTAACTCAAAAAAATTAAAACTCAACCCGCCATATCATCATACGTAGGGTTGGGAAATGGTGCGATCTAGTCTAGACCAAGAGGCATGAGTATAGACCATAGACCAGACCGCAGACTATATGGACCAGACCACGCCTGTGCGGTCCGATACGGTCTTGTCCAGATAGACCACACCGAACAAAAAAAGAACAATTTTTGTAGTAAACCACACAAAAAATTGAACCAATAGCCAAGAAAAAAAAATTGTTTTTTGCCTTTAAAACGTATATTCGAACATGCATTAATAATTTTGGCACCATAAATCTCAGTAAATAATAAAGATACAAAGTAAAAGCATCCCAACTTGCACCATACGTCATTAACATTTACATAATGTCATATGAAGACATGATCTTCTCTACTCTCTGGTCAAATGTGGTTGTGAATGAAGAAGGGGACGAGATTTTCAAAAATTAAGATTGAGATATGAGTATCGTTGTGAGAGTTGGGGGAGTGGTCGAGTAGGCTGCTAACAATATTGAGAAGTCGGTTGGGTCCACGGTGTGGTCCGGTAAATCGCGGTCTAGGATTAGACCAAGAGATCAAAACATCATATAGTACAGACCATGGACCAGACAAGACCATACTTAACAGTCTACGGTCCGAACCAAACTGCGCGGTTCGCTTTGTACCATGATTTTTCAAACAGTTTGCTCTATTTTCCCAACCCTAATCATATGGGCAACGTGAGACCCTAACCCAACCCGTGACCTGACCCTTCCTTCTTGATCCATCTTACCTAAAATTAATCGTTCTTAAATCTTGCAGGCTCATTTTTACATTCTTTGAACCAAATGTGATTCTAATATAAACCGCGATTCCTAAAAAAAAATTGAAGTATCGATCAATGAATAAACAATGCCCCTGGTGATTTTAACTAACAAATTAGCCAAATGTCTTATGGAGAAAGAAATCTGGGAAAGTCTTAATGACTGTGATGGTGGAAAGGCCCCGGGCCCGGATGGTTTTTCGTGGGACTTTTACAAAAGATGCTGGCCATTCTTCCGTGGAGAGATTGTTAACGTGTTTAATGAATTTCATTCCTCTGGGACTCTCCCCAAGTGTGCAGCCCACTCCTTCCTATGTCTCGTTCCGAAAAGAGACGTAGTGGAAGAAATCAAGGACTTGCGACCTATAAGTTTAATGGGGAGCATTAATAAGTTGATAAGCAAGGTGCTGGCCCGTAGGATCAGTAATTTTCTTCCCCAATTGGTGTCCGATAATCAGTTTGCCTCGGTTAAAGGAGGCAAATCTCGGATGCGGGACTCATTGCTTACGAATTAGTGGATAGTAGAAGGAAGAGCAAGAAACCTGGTTTGTTGCTTAAATTGGATATAGAGAAAACTTTTGACAATGTGAGCTGGGACTGCCTATTCAGAGTTCTCTCGGAGTTGGGTTCTCCTATTAGTTGGCAAAAATGGATTCGCGGCACTATGTGCAGCCCGGTCATCTCTACCCTCATAAATGAGGAGGCTAGCAGTTTCTTCCCTATGCAAAAAGGCCTTCGTCAAGGTGACCCGCTCTCCCCGGGACTCTTTGTGCTTGTTATGGATGTTCTCTCCTCCATGCTTTCCTTGATTCAGAACGAAGGGTTGCTCAAAGGTCTTTGTATGAATGAGGCCGACGGGAGGGGGGAGGTGACCCACCTTCTATTTGCTGACGATAATCTGATCTTCTGCGAGGCGAACTATGAGCAGGTCTTACCCATCCTGGCAACTCACGTGTGCTTTCAAGCAGTGTCCGGGCTGAAAATCAATCTGGATAAGTCAATGATGTTCACTGTGGGGGATGATCTTGACCCAGATTTCTTTGCTGCGAGTTTTGGATGCAAGTGGAGCAGGGATCCATCTAAGTACCTCGGCTTCCCGCTGGGTGCGAGGGTGAACGCTGGCGCTACTTGGGATGCTGTCATCGATAAGTATCAGCATCGTCTTGAGGGCTGGAAGGGGCGGCTCCTCTCTTTCAGAGCTCATTTGGTTCTTAACAGCTCCATTTTGAATAGCCAACCGGTCTATTACTTTTCCTTACTTAAAGCCCCAAAAACGGTGATCAATAGAATTGAGAAGATCCAACGGAGGTTTATTTGGAGTGGTGCTAATGAAACTCAGAGAATTCCTCTTGTCAACTGGAATATCTGTAAAGCTGAGAAAGAGGACGGCGGTTTGGGGATCAAAGACCTTACTTGCTTCAACAATGCTTTGCTTTCCAAGTGGTTATGGAGGTTCGCTGTTGAGAGGAACAGTTGGTGGAGGAAGCTTATTGCGGCTAAGTATCCGGCTGCAATCTCCGATTGGCAAAGTAGCAGAAGTATAAATGGGTTTGCTGGTTCCCTGTGGGCGAACATTTCTCACGAGTATGAGTCGTGTTGGAAGAGAGCTTACATCGATCCGGGGGGGGGGGAGGAGTTGGGGTTTCTTTTTGGCACGATTGCTGGATCCCTGAAGTTGTCCTTGCAGACACTTTCCCTCGTGTCGCTGCTGCCGCAACGCGTCCTAATGCCTGGGTCTCTGACATTGTCACGTTTTCAGGTGAGAGAGTTAATTGGGATATTAATCTGTCTATTAATTTGAGAGGGGGTGCTGAGCGGGAGAGGGTCTCTTTGTTTGAGTTACTTGGTACTGTTGATGCTTCTCGTGTGACTTGTGGACCGAGCAGACTCGCCTGGTCGCTATCCCCAGAGTGATCTTTCTCCGTTTGCTCCATGTACAGGTCTCTCTCAAGGAATCTTTTTCCAGGGGTGTCGCAGTTCCCTGTTGAGTCGATATGGAGGAAAATCGTTTCGTCTAAGGTGTGTTGCTTTATGTGGACGTTCGCGCACAAGAAGATCCTTACGATGGACATCCTTAAGAGCAGAGGCTGGTCGTTGGCGAGTAGATGCGTTCTGTGTGCACACTGCGAGGAGACAACTGATCACATCTTTGTTGATTGCGACTTTGTCAAGGAAGTGTGGGCTCGCATCAAGCTCGATTGCAGACTCGTCACCCCTCCTTCTGGCGACATCCTTTCAACTATTCGTAGATGGGAGACTACACAACCGGACAACCCTGATAGGTGGTTTATTTGTTGTGTTCTTCATGCTGTTTGCTGGAATGTTTGGTTGGAAAGAAATAGGCGAATTTTTAGGGATTCTTATTTCAACGAGGCGTGCACCCAGGAAAGGATTTCTCACAGAGTAGCGGAGTGGCAAAGGTTTTTGGCAAGATTGATAAGAATTGAGGTGGCAGCAGGATGGCTCTAGCTTTGTTGCAACGGTTTTGCTGCTCACTTATGTTCGGTTGGTGTTGTCCTTGATTCCTTTCGCTTGGTCGTTGTCTTGGTTCAGCCGTGGACAGGAGCTTCTTCTTGTCTTTCTTTTGGCTTTTTTTGCTTTGGTGTTGTCCCTCTGCTTCTTCGGTTTTGCCTCTTCCCTTTCCTACTTTTTCTCCCTTGACTCCCTGGGTGTCTTTGGAGGGTTCACTTCTTGTGAGACTTCTGTGTATCTTTTCTTCATACTCTTATCTTTTTTATTTTAATGCATTAATCACCATTATAAAAAAAACTATTATACCAACAAACACGCTTTTTTTCAAAAAAAAAAAGACCTTTGCTATTGTTATTGTAAGTGACTTATGTGTCTCTACAGACTAATTGTGGCACATAAATGGGTGCTGCCAATTGTTGCCGCTAATTCTCTTTAAAGAGAGATGTTGGAGACAAATATGATGAGTTTCTGATTATGAGATTTGAGGCAAATATTTATGTTGCTAAATTCACTTTTGAATGACTATTTTGTTGCTTTCTCTTTCCATTTTAGTGGCATTAGTATTTGCCACTAATACTATATTTTGAGGCACATATATTTTCTTACCTAATAGGTCTTCGGTTATAATTATTTTTGTTTTAAATATTGATAATAATTTTTTTATTTTATAATTATTTGTTTTAACCTTTGCATATTATTATTTTTAGGAGCCACGTAAAATTGCAAAACACACATATATCCCTACATTGTTCTTTGTGGCCAACGAACTCGTATACAAGTCACTAGATTTGGACCCGCCCGTTGACCGGATGACATCAATAGAATATAAAATAATAGTAATTACCTCAATCATTTATTTGGTACCATGAAAAAATTCAAATTATTCAATTACTACAAATATTAAAAAAGACAACATACAACATAAGGTTTACA